CTTTGACGTGAAGGAGCTAGTGCAGGATCATTTTGTTGCATTCTCCTATTAATTAATAATCATAATAACAATTATATTGCACTAGCTAAATTTACTTTTTTAATCTTTCATCAAATTCCTCCTGAATCTCTGGCTCCAAGTGTGATAATGTACCACCAGCTTTGCATAGCTGGAGGTATTCATGCCAACATTTAATTTGACCATCTGCCTCACTGATGTACTGGTCTTCAAAATCAAGTATTTCCAATGGTGTACCGACAGTCACTACAAGAGTTTTTGCTCTTGTGATAACCGTGTTAAACATAAAATGATTAAAGAGACTTTTAGTAAAGTATTCTTTAATTTTCCCATCCTTCAAAGGCTCCAGCAAGCACAAAAATATTGCTTCAAACTGATGACCTTATTTTAAAAGTTTGCAGCTATGTAATAGAAATAATTAAAATACCTTGAATCATAAAAGATGGCAAAAACTTTACTCTCTTTTCTTTCAAAATATTGTAGCAAGGGTAACGAGAGACCATTTCCTTTATATGATTTAACTATATGTCAATAGAATAAAATGACACTCAATTCAAAATAAATGCATTGCAAATGAGACATACTTGCTTCCTAGTAGAAGAAATGATACAAATTTGAGGAGGCCTCCTCTCATTTTCTGTTTCTTTAAAATAAAGTAATACCTGTTCCAAGACAATACATGCTTCAACCAATTGCTGCTCTTCATTAGCAGCAACACATTCAGGTACAAGTCTAGAATTAGAACATACAAATCTATAACCAGACGGGCCTTTGTGATGCCAAACTGGTTTATTTTCACTTGCATGTAGCTTCCCATAAAATAACTCTGGCAATGAAAGGAGATCTTTATGAGCACAATAATTACTAGACAATGTTGTCACGTAAGTAGCTGCAGTGGGGCCCATTCCCTTGTAGCGATCTGTTAAACGTGTTACAAGGGAAACATCAAGACCATCACTTTGTGCCTCTTCTCCTAGTACAAGGGTTTTGGGGCCAACCTATTACAAAAATAAGTTAAAAACTAAAGCTTAACATATCCTCATACCTGTTTGTCATCTCCAGCTAGAACAATTTTAGCATCGCGTGTAGCAAGAGCTAATGGAGTTATTGCTTCTGGCTCACGTACCTGAGCTGCTTCAT